TTTCCTGCTCCCCCCGCCCCAGCCTGCCCGCCCCCCATGTGGCCTGGATTTGTGAGCACCTGCTGTCAGCCCTGAGAGCTTTCAGCTACGGCTTCACCGCCGCCGTCCTCACCGCACCCCGCACGACGGTGGTGCAGCTGGCATTCATGCCCAGCGAGGCGCTGGCCGTGGCTCATACCCCTTTCCCCCCTTCCCTGTAAAAAGGCTCCTCCGCCGTGGCTACTGTTGCTTGCCTGGAACCCTTTCCCCCCACGCTGCCCCCCTGTCCTTAGCCTGACACCTCACCTCTTAGGCTGTTTCCAAAAGCCCCTCCCAGCAGGTCTCCCTGCAGGTCTTCCCGAAGCTTTGAGGTCCTAGTGTGCTCCTCCCTGCTGCCATGTGTGAGGACAGAATGTAGGTCTTCGCCACACACTTGCCCTTTGCCCTTTTACATTTTAACTCTTAAACAGTCTCTCTTCTGAGCAATTAGGCCTCCCACCCAAAAGACAATGGGAGGAGCACATTTTCTTTCTGCTAACGAAGCATTCATCAGCCTCTTTCCTTACTGTTTTGTGGGAATCATTGCCCCCTTTTTTGGATTGGGAAAGCTGCATCTTCATGTTAATTGTATCTTTGAGCCATAAACTTAAAGTTCTATTACGAGCCATGATATTTATTGTAATCTCATAATTATGTACCTCCTGGTGATTGAAATGTAAGAATTTAGTATGAAGGTTTTTTGCAACTAATCATAAAATTCTGAAAGTGAGATCCCTGGTGTGGGTCATTTTTGGAATGATCTTGAATTTGTGTCCATTGTTTAATATAATGGTTTCTGATGTGATAGGGACCAATTGGCAGGGTAGCTAAGTGTCAAAGAGAAGTCGATCTGGTTCCTGCGGCAACACCTCTGCTGTCATTGGTGTGTGGTTTCTGGATTTCTGTCAGGTGCCGGTTTCCTTGTGAACCAGTGGAAGTGGTGATGGAGTTGGCACATGACTGATGGGTGATGGTGGGGGGTGGTCATGCCCAGGAATGCTGACCTCTGTCTGGACTGGTGAGCTGCTTGTCCATTATTGAGAGTCAGTGGCATGTGAATTGCCCCATCTGTTTTTAGAGCCAGCGCTAGTTTCTTAGAATACTGCTGCCTTTTATAATGCATCCCC